ATCACTTACGAAGAGTGAAGCAATAATTCCAAACAAAGATATCAATGCCATGGTAATGAAAGTAATACCAAAAATTAGTGTTAGAACCCTTGACAAATCAGGTGCATACTCTAGAAACGGAGATATTGTGATGTGAGATTTCGTAATCACGAGTCGTTCTCCCAAACGTTTGACAACATCGACACAAACGTACCCTCTGGTTTTGCTAAAAATGCCACTGCACCACTTATGGAAAAAAACTGGAACCCAAGGAAAAAGTAGAATTACACGCTCCGATCAGACCAATAAATCTCCAGGACCAAAAAAAATAAAAATAAAAAAATTTTTTCTCACCATACTGATAGCGCAAAGGATGACAGTTGCAGACCGCAGGGGAATACTAGATAAAAGTTTATCGTATCATCAGTTCAGTCGCTGACCCATCAAATGAAAACTAAGATGATTATTCGTTTAGATCATTCTTTGTGTTTGGGTAAAGCCATTCGAGCCTTTTAAAAGTGAGTGTATCACTGTTCTTGGTCACGTGGACAATTAAGAAGCGCTTACCAGCAGCAACAACATTGGGTCATGTTGACCTTTTTTTCTTTGCGAACAAAATTAAAAATACTTGATGTATGAGTGCGAGCGAAGTGTCTGACACTTAGATAGAGATACTAAGAAGGGATGCCTCGAAATACGAAAATTTTTCCCTGTTAAAAGTTCGGGAGGCTTAGTATATGTATCTTGAAGTTAACTGGTGTGTCGTGACACTTTTCTACAAGTGATATAAAAAGGGAATGGGGGTAGGCTATGCTCGGAAATAATTTTTGTTCGTGGCTATGCTGTTGCGATCTTCAAAGGAACCGGTGGCTCAGGCCAGATCCTTGCTCGGATCGAATTTACTCGATGTTTTTTGAAATTTGCGTTTGATAGAGTTCAACAAACAGATCACAAAGAAGGATGACAACGAAAAAAGGACAAAAAAGGATGACAATAGCAAATATAAATAACGTTTCATTCCCGATATTGTATTTTCTCTGCTTTGTAACTTTATATTAAAAACAATAAACACCAGACAACGTCACGTCATACAATCATCCATACCAGAAGCATACAAGATGACTACAGGACAGTGGGATTAGTTAATAACGATTCTCCGTCACATTATCGACACATACCTTTCTTGCCATTTCGAATTCTAGTATTTTCTCTGTTCTTGGTATTCGGAAATCCGATATTCTCTAAGCCTTACTTAATAGTCTTAATGGTTTGACCAAGCCAAAAATGGTGATTTAATGAAAATTCCTCAGCCAGCAAACGTGAGGTAATATA